ACTACTACTACTACTACTACTACTACTACTACTACTACTACTACTACTACTACTACTACTACTACTACTACTACTACTACTACTACTACTACCGCCACCACCACTAGGGAAGTATTACTAGAAGTAGCCTGTGGTGGAAGGAAAGTGACTGTGCCTTCAATATAGCTCTCTCCTTTCTGCATGATAGGTACCTCATCTTTTTCAGTTTCTGCACTACTAGCAACAAAACCTCTTCAGTAGTATCACTCCAAGGAGCTCCTGCTGGAGGGGGAAGTATCCTTTACTTTTATCCACAGAGCCAAGAAGATTTAATCTTTTTTGCAGGAATTTTCTTTTGCTGCTTTGTGACATTGTTTCACTTGTGGCACAAGAATGATACCTTCAGTGTACTAGAAACTGGAAGKGGCTTCTTCTGTTGGAATATTCTTTGTTATTCTTAACATCTTTTCCCTTGGAAGCGAACAGTGCAGTCAAACCAATACCTTTAGTATGCAATGCTGCTGTTGCTGTATTCTTTCTTGTCTCCTTAACAAGGTGTACTACTAGTACTACTAGTATGATCTCATCCAAAAGCCTGCTACTTGCTCTTAGACAATTATGCTGGTGGGCAACCAACAACAAGAACAGCAAGTACTAGTAGTAGTCATTCTTGTTACTATTGCTACTAGTATCCAGAAGTTGGTGTGTAGTACTAGTAGTAGTACTACTAGTAGTATCTCCAGCAGCACCAGCAGTTACAATAAAGTGCTGGCTCAAATACTTAACTCCTGTAGTGGCATCTTGGCAAGCTCTACTAGTAGTAGTAGTAGTATTTCCTTATTTGGTTCTGTCTCCGGCTGTACCAACTTTGCACTCTTCCTTGGGACTTGCTTAGCGGTACCGGTACTACTACTACTACTAGTACTTCTACTAGCAACAATTTAGAACTCTCCCGTAGAAACAAGCGTCATTCAATCAAGACTTACCGGTATGGAATTGCAGCGGTATTTTTTGTTCTCGTATGCAATAATCGGGATGTAGCCTCACAACGAAATATGGTATCAGAATTAGAAGGGTTATAGAAATACGAACTGTATTCCATCACCTCCACGTCTACTTTTTGGAAATCACAAGAAGAAATCAAGTTTGAAATTCGATCGCTACGTAAAATCGTTGTCGTCGTCGTCGTCGTCGTCGAGGAGGCGGAGTAGGAGGAAGTCAAATTCAATATAAAATTTTGAAGGCAAATACGGTTACAAACTTTCTTTTGTGCTGCATTATGCGCAACGGAATTGGGTTCATTTCCAAACTTGGCTATCAAAGCATAAATCAAGCTTGATGGTCTTACAAGGGGATCAAGGACTACGTCGAGGAGGCAAAGTAGGCATCGAGGAGCAATAGACATCTATTTTCTTGTGATTAAAACAAAACGAAACGCAATCATGTCCTCGTATCGCCCCGTATATATTCCAAAACGACGCAAGCTGGCAGCTCACAACAACGAGGGCAAGCACGCCAATGCCACGGAACGAAACAAAATTCCATTTCAAAAACGACACACCAAAAACCAGCAGTCCCGGTTTCACGGTGCTTTTACTGGGGGGTTTTCAGCCGGCCACTTCAACACCGTGGGGACCAAAGAAGGGTGGGCGCCTTCGCAGGTCAAAAAGAGGGACCAGAAGCTGGAAGATTTTATGGACGAAGAAGATCATAGCGAATGGGGAGGACCGACGCGGCTCCGGGAAGAGTTTGGATCGAAGGCTKGGGCTCCTGCTGCTGCTGAGTTCGGGCAATCTAGAATAGCGGGCATGAATGCCCCGGGTGAGGCTGACCTTACAAACTTGGGAACTTCTATGGGGAGCAAGTACCAAATGCCTTTACTTCTTCCCCTAAAATCCATATTGGAGGTTTCTCACGAAACCATCGGTCCAAGACTGTTGCGGCGTCTAGGCTGGAGGGAAGGAAGATCCGCGATTATACCAGAAAACGAAACAACAATAGTGAAGTCCGAGGGAAAGGAGGACAAGGATAATGAGAACGAGAACGATCTGGAAAAGGCTAGCCTGTCGAAACGAAGACTTCGCAAGCTTCAGCTGCAATCGAGCCGAATCGTGAAACTGCCGTCCCCAAAGCTCGACCAATGCGGTCTCGGATTCGAACCCTACAAGGACGCACCGGAATTCGAGCGTTATAGAGAACAACGAAGGAAACGAGCCCAAGATAGGGCTTCCTACAACCGGAACGCGAAGGACAGAAACGTCTATCGCTTGTCGGACATTGCAGCGGACCCGTTTGGTGGCGGCGACTCTGCATTGTCGTACGAACGGAACACTCGTAAAGCGAGTGGCAGCAGCGACTACCTGGGTTTTGAAACGACAGAAGACTTTGTTGGGAGGCGCTCGGCGGCCGGTTTCGCCCTACGGGACGACGAGGACGATGCCTACGACGATGAAGGGTTCCGAAAAGGTCTGATCAAGAAAGGAGGTCTGCTCGAGGCCGGAGACGAATACAACACGGAGGCATACGAGCACGAATACAGCAGCGACGACGAATGCGATGTGGGCTCGTCTCTGCCAAAGATCCAAGGTCCTTTTTCTGTGAAAATGGGGAACGCACATTCGCCATCAAATGGCAAGAGTCGCAACCCAGTGGACGCGGGGAACGTGTTTGCAGCTTGGGCGGGAACGAACCCATCGACCGAGGGGAAATTAGCAACGCCACCGCCGTCGTCGAATCATAAGGGAGCCATTACGCGGGCGAGAGTAACATCGGATAAACGAGCGCCGATCACTGGATTCGTCGTGGGAGGCTCTATGGATACTAGCAAAAAGCGATACCCCGGTCCCGATATACTTCGCAACTATACAGTTCAGAAGCACGTATTCGGAGAGCACGAAAATCCGCTTTTCCTTGAAGCAATTTCGAACGCCGTGAAACTCGAACAAAAGGACGAGCGAACCGCTCGGATTGAGCAGCAGGAAACGCAACATCAAACGCCTCAAGGAATCACTGAACCCTCCAATCGTCCCCTAACCGAGAACTTTTCGTCGTTGGCAGATGCAATGAGAAATAGATTTACATCTGGCGAATCCTCGTTCATAGACAAGGGAGACTCTTCCCATGAGAAACAGAAGGCATTTCCAGGGGGGTTGCACATGCCGAGTCCTGTTCAACACAACAATGATGCTCCTGAGGGCACAGATCCTTCGAATCACGGGAACCACAATCAAAAGATTGCCATCCAACGGACCGTGCAATCCTTCTTTCCAAATCCATTGGTGTGCAAACGATTTCGTGTGCCAATCCCATCGAAGGCGAGAAAGAACAATGCTTGGGATGCTATAGACAGCAGCAAGACCAAGGAATCGCTCTATTTCGAAAAGGAAATCTTGCAAAAGGCGATACAGCAAACACGAATCCAGCCCGGCAATACTGTGCCAGGGACACATGGCAATCGTTCCGCCAATACTTCGGAATCACGGACGAGCCAAAGTAGCCAAAAAGAAGGGCAAGGAACTCGATCGGAGATCGAGCGGCCTTCCATTGAAAAACTTAAATCGGTGTTTGAGGCGTCTTCCGACGAATCTTCTTTGAGCGAGGACGGCAACGAGGGGAGTGACACGGAAGAAAGAGAGCCCCATGCGGATCCTACGATCAAGGCGACGACGCGCGACCCAAGCAGATCTATCGAAGCCAAACTACCATTGAGAGAGGGCGGGAAAGATTCACCTAACGACACTATCGAAACGAATGCGGAATCGATTAGGGCGATAGTAGAATATCAATTTTCATCACCTTTGCGAGGAGAAGAGGACGTCAGCATTCCTTCTGGCAGCAACAGTGACGGGTATGGCGACGATGGATCTTCGAGGGGTCGGAAGAGGAAGAAAGAAAAACGCCCCCGAAATCATGATCGTCGTCGCAAACGACACAAACGAAAGAGGTCCCGATCTACTGATCGAGACAGGGACTCTCGCTACTACTCGGATAATACGGAAGAAGAGGATGGAAGAGCGAGAGACCGACGTCGTCGAAAGGACAAAAAACGAAAGAAAGAGAAGTCGTCGTCGTCGAAGTATCGATGAAGAAAAGGAGACAAAACCTATGAATAACAAGACAGTGATTGGCCGCACAAGTTTGGTAGAAGTACAAAAGAACGTTAGCGTCCACGTCACCCAATTGATATCATTCAGCCTTCACCATTCACTTGTATTGATTTGTCATGGTGGATTGTTCTGTAACCGAAAAGCGAGGCTGCTGCCACAACACTTCCAACACAGATCACGCAGTGTATATCAAAAGAGGATGGTGATGGATGTAACTGGTTCCTCTTTCCTCTTTTTGGTATGAAATGCACTGCCAAAAACCCGAGGAAGACTAACTACGCCCCATAATCCCAGCTAGTTCGATTTATCATTGAACATTATTTCATGCTTTTACTTTTAGTTCATGCACTATATGATGTAAAAAATCTACTGAGTTTCTGCTTTCTGTTGCAATTTTGGGATGCTGTAAACAAAGGCCATTCACAAATATGATACCTGTGTTTGTGACTGTTTCTGATTTGCTGTGAAAAGGCCCCAGGGATGAATTGAATTACATTCAACAATCAGTATCTACTTTTGAAATATGTCTCCTCTTTGATTCAGATGGAAACTGTTTGTCAGTGTGATGATCATATCTTTGTAGTCTTTTTTCACCACATGATTATTTGAATGGTTTTCTGTGATTTTCTTCTCTTTGAGCCTTGTTGTTTTCAACCATCATGATGTAATACCCTTTGTCTTGGTATATTTTTTCACCAGTGTGGTAGTTCATCTGGTTTTGCAATTATTTTTTGCACAAAATTTAGACAAATCAGATGGTGGTATTACTTTTTTCTGGCAATAGATGGGGTTGGTGCTGGTAAAACTGGTGCTGCAGCATGCACCATGGTGAGAAGAAGCCACACTTCATGAACTGTTTACTAACTGTCAATTGAACTACTTTATGGCACTAGTATGGGCTAGTTTTTGATGCACACTCCAAGAAGAAAGACACAAACCCTACGCACCACCAAAGATTTCTTTGGTCTCTGCCGCAACCAACCGTACCATGCAAACTACTACTATGAACCAATATTTCTCCTAACCCCCTAGCCCAAACCAAAACCTTGGTCGCGTTTCCACAAAACCTCCTCGGAGGGAGGCTCCGCCCCTTGGAGCAGCCAGAAGCATACTTTCCAACAAAAGCTATGGTGGTTCTGGCCATCTTAGTAGTGCCTCTTCTAGTTCTTCACGAGGTAAAATATAATATTAAGATTTTTTTTTTACTTGATGGCACTAGTACTAGTAGTACTACTAGTAGTAGTAATATTCATCAGAGTATCATCACAGAGTGTTGAGCTGATTTTGATGCCGGATAAGTCTTTTTCAATAGATAATGAAGGCTCAGCACTGTGTAACCAAGAACAGCAACAGGAACTCGAACATAATTCCAGCAATCGAACAAAGACTAGTGCTTTTTGAGTGTCTGTCCGATGCCCGTATTCAGGAATCAAACCATCGACGGCTGAGTGCGATTCTGTCGTTGTCTATCTTGTGCTCTTTTGCCAGAAAACTACCAGTACCAGAAACATAGTACGGTATCGTATCACGGTACCTGTACGGATCCTAGTAGATTGAAACACAAATGCTTCCATCTGAAACCGAAACCATCATCCCCAATCATCGATCCATACCTGTTTTTGAACCCCCTCACGACCATCCATCATAAGTGGGTGAAAGACATCCACGCTTCGGCTTGTATCAAAATGATGAGGTCGTCCGTGACAACCACCACGATGCGTCGCTTGGAAGGAGCATTTCGTCGCCAATTGAATGGATCTCTTTCTGCTACTAGTATTTGTGCGCACCATCCACAGCGAGGGTTTTCTTCGGCTCGACCAAAAGCGAAAGAGAGTAGGGTGGCAGCAGATCCTTCAGGCGGAGACACTGAACCTTCTGAGAAGACCCAGAATCGACAACCATTTGTAAAACCCATTCTCGAGCCCGGCGAATGGGACATCGATCGCAAGGATCCCTATCATAGGCCGAAGCCACCCCGCAACAAACTGATCAGCGCCGAAGATTTTGCGAACCGGCCACCTGTCGGTTTCGACAACGAGTTCAGTAGCTATGAAGATTCCATGATCGCCCTGTCCTGGCTAGATACCAAGACGTGCCGACAAATTTATTCCACATACGTGGACATGATGGTCCGCCACCAAACGGACCATCCCGGGCGGACTTCCCACGAGTACGTGTGTCGGGTCCTTGCCCAACGCTTTCAGATCACAACCTGGAGGGCGGCGGGCGTCGTTCAGCTGCAGCATGCCGAGGAGCAAATGAGGAGGAACAACCCCGAATTGCTCTGCGAGGAGCAGGCGCAATGGGCCGAGGAGACCATTATGAAAAACATTTCGGATGCCTATAAATCAGAGCGGTCGCATCCTCCAAATAGAGGCCACGGTGGCCAGCACCAGCCCTTTGTGGAAGATCCGGTGGGCATTCATGGTCTTGGAGAACCAGACGAAATATCCACCTCTTGGGCTCCCACTGATGATATCTATGACCTCGAGGCCAAGCTGCACCAGGCCAATGCAAGAGACGACGAGCTGGCCCAGGTCATGATCGACGAACACGTCTACAGCGAAGACGTCGACGAGTCGACCCTGCCGGTCCAAACCGATGGGGTTGCAAAGGGATTAATCAGGGCTCATAAAAAGCAACAAAATGAATCCAAGAACGAGGACGAATCGTTGAGCATCGCATACCCGGAGACAAACGGCCAGGGCGCCAAGCGCCCCCGCTGGAAATACGTTGCAAAGGTTGTGAATACCCGCGCAATGCGCAAAAAGGGGAGAAAGATCACTTCCTACTCCAACAACAACACAACCAACACCCTGGTGGAACACAATGGGGAGTTGAGGGTGGCCACGGTCGAAGAAGCCAAAAAGGTGGCCTGGAAACCCACCCGAACGAAGGGGAACTCTTACATCTATGAGGGGGCCCAAAAGGCATGGCTTGACAAGACCATCAACGGGAAGACAGAAGTCTGGGGCAAAGCACCCAAGACGAGTGCGGCGGCAGCCACCGCTGCAGCAGCGGCGGGTGTCGTTACGGAGGAACCAGTGACACCGACGGATGAAGCCTCCGCGGCCGAGGACGAAACAAAGGAGGAGGAATCCGGTGATGACACCGAGGAGCAAGACGACTCTGAAAAGTAATGGCCACGAATGAATAGAATGGCAATCTTATAGGCCATAGTAAAATCAATTTCCTTCACTCTCTCCGAAGCGCGTTGTTGGGCAATGGTAATTCTTTAGCGTAGAATGATAGAAAATGATGGCAGAAATGTAAATACTGATGCCATGAGATCACAGCAAGAGTTACCTCCCACCTTCCGTCATCACAATTTAGCTTGCATCTGTGAGGTAATAGTGTCTGCTTTCTGACCAAATCTTTCGTAAAAATTTTGCATCCATACGTGTAGCGTAATTTGAATGGGGGGATTTTTTGAGTTTTTGGAAGACATGTTTACTGGCACATTTAGTTAGTGAAACATATCGATCCAATAGTAGGAATGATGCGAGGAAGCAAGAAGGGGTTCTTTTTTCCTTTCTTTATTGGCTTCTTGATTCTTTATTGGATGCAGCAACAGCCAGTGTATTGCCATCCACAGTTCCTCAATGACTACTGCTGGCTACCACTAGTGCTAGTAGCCTACTAGTAGTAGGAGTAAGACAGTTTCTACTACCACCATATGAACTTCTCGATCTTCTACCAATGCTTTATACACAAAGCCTGTTGAGGAGCTTCTTTTGATTTAGAAGATTTAAAGGACTTGATAGGCCCATGTTTGTAATTACAACATGATGAGTGATCAATACTGTCACTGGTGACTTCTAGCCTACTACTCTAGTACTACTAGTAGTAGTACTGTCAGCAGCTTCTTGTTAGCGGAAAGTTTAAGCCTTGGTTGCTGTACTGTTTGACAGCAGGAAGAAAAACAATCACCTGCTTTAATGCTCTGTAAAGGAACAGGCATACAATCAGAGGGTATCTGATGTCCATCAAATTACTTCTTTGTTGTTTTTGTCTTCTTGTTGAATTTTTGACTGCTGGGTGAGATACTACTAGTACTAGTAGTACTACTATTAGTAGGAGCAGAAAAAGATCCACTGTCAGCTCTCTGTATCATTCACCACATCTTTCCAAGCGCAAGGATCCTCCTAGTTGACTTTTGGTTCCTCTTTTGGTTTGGTAACACCTGGTGGTGGAAAAAGCTGAGGAACAATGTCACAAAATAACATATTAGTACTACCAGAAACTTTCAGCTACTGGATCCACAACAACAACAACAACAACAACTACTACTACTACTACTAGTACTCCAATGTCAAGAAGCAGTACTATGTACTTATGTACATCCCTTACAGTATTGATACTTAACATGTTCACCAGAATAACAGCCCTGTCACACTTTCTAACTGGTTGAAAGGTAGAAATAAACAAGTAGCTGTTCTTTATGTAGAAATTCTACAGGGTAGGGGCGACCAGAAAGCTACTTTAAAGTAACTTTTAGTTAGCAAAAAAGAAACTTCATAGTAGTTTTTTAAGTCAATTTCCACTAGTGCTTGGCAATAGATTGACTAGTAGCAGTACTACTAGAAAGGTGCTTTCAATACTACTACTAGTAGTAGTGGACACATGCCATTTTGTACTACTACTTGTACTACTACTACTACTACTACTACTACTACTACTACTACTACTACTACTACTACTACTACTACTACTACTACTACTACTACTACTACTACTACTACTACTACTACTACTACTACTACTACTACTACCACTAGTACTAGTAACAACGTCCCAGGATAATTTCTTCTTATGGAATTTCCAACAGCAGCAGCAGTGTCAGCACTCTCCTCCCTCAAAAAGAAGAAGATTGGATCATGCAGATCATGGAAATGGAGAAGGAGGAGGGGGGGGATATTACCAAGTTCTTGTTTGCTCCATCTCAAAGTCATGTTGGTGCCGGTGGTCTTGTGATGTCACTGTGTTGAATGCATTTGATTTTTGATGGGTACAAGGTACGAGATATGATTAGTACTCGTACCATCTGAGCAGTAGGTACAAGTTAATTCGCAATAAAATTACCCCTAAAATTAACAATTTTTGACCCCTCACCACCTGTAACTTTCGCAGACTAGTACTTAGCCTACATGGAATCCTTAAGCATTCCAATGACCTAGATCTCTAAGTAATTGTATCATCTTGGTCTGGGCGCTTAGTCCGGTGGTCTAAAGTTGTTTTTTGATAGAGCTCTGGCCTATTTTCTAACCAGTAGCCGGTCTCCAATGGCCAAATTTGGCCATACCAGCTGTTAATGGAGAACCGGCTCCCCCAAGGCCTTTAATCATGTAACAATGACACCACATGGCACTGTTCCCAACACTATTAGTACTAGGAAGCTTTTCCCCAAAGAACAGCTCCTCTCGTCAGGCCATAATGGAGCAGTTCTAAATGTCCTATTACACTGTTTGTGGTCAAAAAATGACCAAATACTAGTAGATCAATGTAGGATCAGTACTAAATAGTGGGCTTCAAAATTAACAAAATTAACCGTGATGATTACTAGTAATAATTTTTGGTGTAAATCAGTTCAAGTAAAATTACTTTTTTTCCTGTCCGTAGGCTTTTTACGGTTAACGCATTTTATATCGAATTAACTGGTACGTACTGTCGCCACAACACAGAGTACGTACGTACCGTAACATCGTACGGTAGGGCAATAGATGAAAATTCACTTCGTGCGTGTAAATGCAAAATTGGTGTCAGCCATGGTTCGAAGGCTTTTCTTTTTGAATGTGTATACAGCCAGTGATTCACGCGTTACAGTATCATTTTTGACTTCCATGAATTTTCTAAGATTCGATTGGATTGTGTGTCATATGGAATGACCAGGAACACTTTCCACGGTTCTCTGCGACTCAATGAAATTTCATGGCTCGGATTTTTACGACTGAAGTGCCTGAGCTTGTAGGCTGCTACTCGTACCTGGTACCGATGCTGACGGTAACAAACGTACCTGGTAACAAAAAAATGGTATTGAGAGTCAGCGACTTATCACGTTTTCGTACAAGCTGGTGTGTGTCTGCCGCGAAATGGATGGGAGGATGTTTGGCACCGTACGATTACGGATGGGGTGCACGCAAAGTACTGTAAAACATAGTACTTCTGATTGCGTAGCTACTCCGCGCAAATCACTCCGACGAAGAGAATGGTCCTGTGGTACCATACACGGAACGCTCGTACGTACCTTTCGTTACACGTACTACTGTACAGTGCCTACTGACATTAAAGACACAAAGGCGTTGGCGATTGGTTTCGTTGAAGTTTTGGTTCGTCCAAACCACACGGTGTCTCTTGTTTTCACCGCGCTCACCTGTCAACCACAATCTGAGACACCAGAGCAGAGCAATCGGAGTGCCTTTTGGAAGTTAATTGCACATTCAATCCGTAGATAGAAGGACGCAACTGTCAAGTTATTTATTCTCCAATGATGAAACTTGCTACCGTTCTATCCTGTGCCGTAGCCATTGCAACCACCAATGGCTTTTCACCGAGCAATTCGCTGTCACGAGCACAACCGAGGGACCGAACACCGGGCCAAATAATAAAAGTCTCTCCTGCTTCGACAAGGCTCCATCTCCTCCAATCCTCTACCAGCACAAACGATGAATTACTCGCCACGACGGAAATATCGAGCAGTTCGGCGCTCGCATCGTCTGTAGTATCGTCTGCGAACGAAACGGCGTCGACCGAAGCCCTGCTTTCGGAAACGCAATTCCTCGTCGATCCATCCCCTACCTCATTTCCACCACCAGAGGAAACCACTGGGGGTCTTCCCGACTGGATAGAACCCGTTGCCTGGAGGGGAGTCATTGTGGTCTTGTGTGCCCTGTGGGCGTCCAATTTTGCCGCAGCCAAACTGGTCATGGCCGAGCCTGGTGTGGATTCTTCCCTGTACGCCCTGAGTCGGTTTGGGATTGCCGCTGCCTCCCTGGCCCCCTTTGCGATCCGATCCGTCGTTCGGGGGAAAGAGAGCGACGGCGAGAGCGACAGCAGAACCCCCGTCATGGACATGGAGACCCTCAAGGAATCGATTGTGTGCGGTTCGTGGGTAGCCTTTGGATACCTTGGACAAACGCTGGGGTTGCTCTCTACCACGGCGTCGAAATCCTGTGTTATTTGCAGCATGCACTGTGTATTTGTGGCGCTCATCGCAGAGATATGGAGGGTCCAGAAGGCTGCCTCTGACCAACTCGGTTCCGCGAAATTCGATGTGAAGCGCCTGGTGCCGGCACTCGTGGCGGTGGTAGGGGTTGCCATTGTGGAACTCAAGGGAGCCGGTGGGAGTCCTACGATTGGGGATGCATTGAGTTTTGCGCAACCGATTGGCTTTGGCATGGGGTATCTGATCCTCGAGAACATCATGGCCAGAAAGCCCGAGACCGCCCTTCCGGTATCGGCGATCAAACTCACTGTGGTGACGGCGGCATCCTTTCTCATGTTCGAATTTTCGCCGTTGCTACACGGAGGAAGCTTTTCCGATCTGTCGCTGAGGCTCCCCGATTTCGATCCGATTTTGCACTCGACGACCGCCATGGGAGGAATCATGTACACGGGATTGATCACCACGGCCCTTGCCCTCTGGGTTGAGTCGATTGCCTTTGCCGAGGTACCCGCTACCGATGCATCTCTCATTCTCACGACCGAACCCCTATTTGCCGCAGGGTGCGGGGCGATTGCCCTGGGAGAAACTTTTGGGACTTCGGATTACGTCGGAGCCAGCTTGATTGTAGGCGCCTGTGCGCTTTCGATATTCATGGACACCCCTGAGGCGGAACAACACCATGCCGCATGAGAGACGGAACGGTTCGGTGAGGAACGATACTCTGCTGTCAAATACAATCGACCGCATCGGATAGACTGCGCAGTCTCGTTTTTTCTCGGTAGACCCAGTTGAGAGGAAAATCGACGGAGGTAAAATGAAGAGATGATTGGCTTGCATACCTCCAGTGTATTGCACTGCATCACAACTACGCCGCGGAACTCTACCCTGCAACTCTGCCCTCGTGTATTCCAGCGACCGCATTGTGCCTGCATGATAGTAATCCGTTACGTTCCAACTTTTCTACGCTGCAATACAAGACATCTTTAAATTTTGCGGTTGTGGCTCACAGACGACATGTAAATCAGGGATGACATGAAGAGACTTGTCGCGGTATGCCCTGCCCGTTATATCCTTACGCTTAGGATATGGTAGAATGAAGCTATTTACTTCAAAAGCGAGCTGGGATTCCTTGTCACCCTTGTTTTTGTACGACTATGCAAGTCGAAGCAATTTGATTATTGTCAAGCTCGAACAAGTAAACTGACCGAAATTAATTTCTTTGATGCAAACATATGTACTCTACTTATTCTGTAGGTGTGATTCAGTCTCCTCGAAGTCAATAACTTTAGCAATTTCTTGCGCAATGCTCCCCATAGGTTGTAAAAGCGTGAATACGCCATCGGAGTAGGATTCATTGGGACGACCGCTATATTGCACACCACTGCTTAGCGCAACAGGTTTCAAGTTTGCTCCCGTGGTCTTTCCTGCTTTCGTTTCCGATGGTTCCCAAACGAGATGCGGTCGTTCTCTACGAGGGAACAAGTGCGAGCTGCCATCTGTGAACCGAACCGTGTTGTTGTACGCAACTCCCGTCACGGTCCAGTTCAATGGCAAGGTCCAATCGAAGTCGGCTGGGGGGATGGGCACAAATGCGTGAACCCCAATAAACGGGGAGAATGCATGAGCAAGTGCATGGTAAACTCCCTCTTCCTGCCATATGTAGGGATCTTCGATGGCAGCACCTGTCCAACATGGTCCCTCGGACCCTTTACCGTGTTTGCTCCCAACAGGATGCCATGTGGTTGGATCCGAGTAGTTTTGTGCGTGCCACGTCATACCACAACGGATGAGGGCTACTGCAGACCCGTCACGGTTTATCGTCAGGTCGGTATTCCAATCCCAGTTTTGGGACAATTGTGGGATTTCCAACGGTGTGGACCAGGGTCCATCGGGAGACTCGGCCAAAGACATCATTTGCCGAAACTTGTGCCTCAATTTCTTTGGAGAACCACGTTGAAAAGGGCACTTTGGTGAAATTTCCGGTGTTACACCGTCCCTGCAATTGCTACAAATTACAGCAGCAAGCCCGGTTTCGTTGTAGTGGAAAAAAGAGAATAGCATCACCCATTCCCCCCTAGGTCCCCTGACGACTGATGCCTCGTGAGCAAACACCGGAAAGACAATTTCCTTCCGCTCGAAGGGTCCGTAGGGCGAATCTCCTACAACGTGAACAATCCTGCTGTTTGTTTGCCAGGCATTGATCCCACATCCTGCTTGGATTTCGGACACGAAACCGTGCCATATCTTACTTGATTCGTCGAACAGAATCGGTGCGCCCCATGATGATACATTACGCCCGCTCGTGTCTACCTCTCGGAATCCGAGCCGATCCTTTGTCATCGGAAGCAAATAGAGTTCGTCGCAAAACAAACCTTTCCATCCTTCCCGACAGTGACACCGATGATCTGTGTCGCTGCAGTGACCGTTGTAACTGCAATCGCTGTTCTCTCGGCAAGGCCAAACTAATCTCGCGGAATCAACCCGACCTTCAATATGGTTGTGTACTTGGTGTTGTGGCATCCAGATCGGATCAGTCAAACAGAAACATCTATTTTCCACGGTGTTGTCATTGGCAGCTTGGTGGTTGAACCAGCAGGCTGTTCGACAGAGGGCCCCGTTGCTATCGCGCCACGATGCAGCAAAACCTGCACATTCTTCAAGAGAAAACGAAGAATTCAATTCCACGACCTTGATGGTGTTATCACTGCCTTGACCGCCGCCATCATCATGCGCGAAGAGGGGTATAGGATTCTTCGCATGCTGTTTTTTCTCTGGGATATATGCAGAACATGCATCTGTGTTCTCAAAGTCTACAATTTCTAATGGTCCGCTGTCATAAAATAATAGTTTCAATGGTGCGGGTGCTCGGTTCCATTCCATAAGAACAAATACCGCCGCTATCGAAATTACGACAGCAACACCAGCAGTTGGATGAGAAGGCACCATTTATTGCTTTCATCGAACCGGCATTATTGCTACTGTAGCTTCTGAGATGACTGAACGTACTCGCACCTGCCGTTGTTGTCGCTGATACTTGCTGTGGTTGTCGAAGAAAAAAGAATGAACATCGTGCAACGCGGCTTGTACGGTACGATTGTACGGTACAGTGCCGTCTCAGCGATCCTTTCCGTATCTTTCTCAAAATTTTGCGATGAGAGATGAAGTTCGGCAAAGGACCCTCCGGAACCCATGCGCGTATCCCCTTTTTGAATTGGTTGCCGGCGCCGTTGTTTTTTTTTGAAGGATGGCGGCGGCCGGAAAAACTTGCTACGGTGCAAAAAGGAAGTTATTGCTAGCATGACTGTCACAATACAGTAATCACTGAATGTTTAAGTCAAAAATGAATAATTTATTTTGGTCAAGGTACTAATTTATTTGCAAAAATTATTATACCAGGGTTTACACATGCAAATCCACACTTAAAAAAGTTTCTTTTTGTTTCCTTGGTAAGTCCAGGGCTGTAAGAATTCTTCAAAGAAGTTACTGGCAAGTACCAAGCACTAAAGACAGTGAATAGAGCTATTAAAGGCAAGCCCCGTAGTGGCAATGCACGAGATTACGTGTACTCTTAGTAGGTGTTAAGTGTGTATGAAATTGAAATTATAAGATTAGAATTATTTGAAGATCAATTCAAAGATTACCAAGCGCGTTCACGAGAATTCCGAAGTTCCGATCAGAACCTCATGTAGACCTGGTAGGGATCCTACGTGGAGGTTCTCCATTCCGGACTCGTGACATCTCTATTCTTCGTGAGGTATTCTCGAATAGTATCTTAGACCTCTTACGTTCCTCGGAGCTCTTATGAGCCTCGGACCTCTTACGATGCATCCTATGATACATACATAGGAAGYGTACCTTACGATAGGTACGTAGGAATGGTATGATACTTCATTCCTTTCTTCGGAGCTTCGTATCGTATACTTCCTTTCAATACGTACGTATCCTATCCAGTACGTACGTATCCATTGCAGGCAAGTTATTGGCAATTCCCCGGGTGTCAATTTTTTCTCATTTTCCCGTCTTTATTTCCCCTCTCCCCCCCCTCCAAACAAAAAAACTATGAAGTCCTAAAATATTTCTATTAGTGCTCCTTACTACTGGGGATATAAAATCAGTGGTTACTACTTGAGAATTAATATTAGTGCTTACTACTGGATCACCTCCATTACTACTTACTACTATGGCATCCCAACTAGTAAGTAGTAATGGAGGTGATCCAGTAGTAAGCACTAATATTAATTCTCAAGTAGTAACCACTGATTTTATATCCCCAGTAGTAAGGAGCACTAATAGAAATATTTTAGGACCAGCAGTGAGAAATTAAACAATGGAAATATTTTTATTTTCGTCCGTTGGATGCCTTTTTTAACTGGTTTTAACTGTAAAAATGAGCTAAAAATTTCTATTAGTATTTGTACGKGGATTGCCAATAACTTGCCACTACGGGACTTGCCTTTAATACTTCTAATAGTGAAGTCCAGTGCACTGTAGCCAATTAGGTCTTTTGCAGTACGCTGCAAGTGGAAGTCAAACAAGACCTTTTTTGCACCTTTCACCACAGAACACCTCATCCACATCACCCAAGCAGCATTCCAGAGGCATATCAGCAAGTTTTCACCTGCCAATGTTATTTTTTGAACAAACAACAATCATTGGCAGGTTATATTTCCTGGAAGAAACAGTTTGTAGACCTTTAAAAAAAGCCATTCATTTTGTACGATGGTGGTCTACATTAAAAAAACTTGATGCCAGGTTTTTAGGTTTTCTACCCCCTCAGACTCCCCTTTCCATCAACAATTTCAGTTGAGAAAAAAATATTCTAGTATTTTTTTTTTGACTTCCATGATTAGGTCTTTTGCGGTACGCTGCAAGTGGAAGTCAAACCAGACCTTTTTCATTTGGTGGCAGATTGGCAGGTTATCACATGCCACTCTAATCACTAAAACATTGGGCGTCTCATTCCATTCTCAGTATTTCTATATTTTCTCAAAGAAACAGCTGTTCATTTTTACTACACTCTACATCAAAAATAACTTGTTACTGGATTCTTAGTTTTGTCGGGGACACGTTAGTGGAGGACACAAGGAACAAGATGAACAAGAACAAGAACAAGAACAAGAGGAACCAGCAGCTCATGGAGAGGGGTAGGCTCATCAGCAACAACAATGTGGGCGCGTTGTTGTTAGTGGAGGACACGGACGCAGAGGAGGACAAAGATGCGTTAGTAGAGGACGCTTTGCTGGAGGATGCGTTGCTCCTGCTAGTAGTATTGTACTAGCAGGAAGCAGAAGCATTGTTTGTAGATGTGCTGCTGGTCATAATGATGATACTAGTACTGCAGATGCTGAAGGTCAAGCTGCTGCCTTGGAAGAACTCATCAGAGTAACGGATGCTGGAGAAGAGCAGGAGGAACAATGTGATGACAATGGCAATACTTACTTTGCTGCTGTTGGTGGTGATGGTGGTGAAGACTTTGCTGATGATGTCTCTGCTAATGATGGAGGTGAGAGTGTTAATAGCCAAGCAGCAACAACAAGGCCATATCCTGGGAGGGCTCCCCAACCACCACCACCAGCAGGTGTAAATATCCCAGACCAGTGGAGATCTTACCACAGAATATTCCTTAATTTCATGGATTTGTACATGGAAGACAAGACGGAAGAAGAGATAACCCCCCCACTGAAGATATATTTGCTAGGGATCATGTGTTCACTGATGCTGAGCTCAGTGACCTCACTCCTGATCATGTTTATAGGTTCTTCATATTACAGGCTTATAAGAAAGAGGATCCAACTCCTGATGACAATCCAGTTCATGCTAGATCTAATTCTACAGATTACACAAAGAAAGCTATTTAATACTATCTTCCAAACAAGACACTCAAGTGGACTGTTCTGCAAGGTGTTGGTCATGAAAATCCAACTCAATTGCCTAAAGTGAATAATTTAATTGCTGCAATTAAACTAAAGGAGACACGAGGACTGGGGAAGCCAACTCAGATGGATAGAGCGCTGACAACGAATGAGTTTTTGGAAGCACTCCGTGAGCTTATGGAGCAACATGGTTCTGTCATTAATAGGAGACAATTTGCTACAATGATGGCAATGCAAATGCACTTCATGGCTTGCAATTATGATATGGCTCATATAACAAAGAATTCTTTGAAGGCTTGCTCTAGATTTCCTGAATTTTTGACCTTAAAGATGAAGTGGTCAAAGAATGTGAGGGAAGAGAGAGATTGTCCTGACCAAATTTGGATGGGATCTTTGAATCCAAAAACGTGTGCAGTGCTTCAATCAGCATTATTTTTGGAGAAGTGGTGTCAAGACAGACAAGGAGCAACAAGCCAATGGCTTTTTACTGAATGGAGTACACGATCAAGGTTACACATGAAATTTATGAAGAAGGAAATTACTTGTGGGAAAGCCCAGTATTCTGGATTCTTAACTAGACATGTGTGGAAGAAGAGTGCATTTAATAAAGAGAAGCCAGGTAGGTTGGGAACTCACTTGATTGGGAAGTATGCTGTTTCATGTTGCAGACACGCGGGACTGTCTAAGGATGATGTTAATTATAGAGCTAGATGGAAAGGACACTGCATGCAACAAGACCATTATACTGATATGAAATTACTCTGACCTGATATCAATGTTGCAAGCTGTCTGTGTCATGATGGTGTTTGCCTGTACAAACCCCCCATAGTAGATGACTCTGGGATAACCAATGAGTGGATTATTGAACAAGTCACTTCTTATATTGCAAGAAGCTCATTCAACAATGAGGTAGCTGTGATTCTTGGAAAGGCATTGCTTTGGGCTGCATTTGAACCTTCAATGGTTGGGACTATTCCAGATGATATCAGAAGGAATGTGATGACATCTTTCATCCAGCTGAACACAAGAGTTAGAGCTACTAATGGTGGTGCTGGTGTTGCGGTTGATGATGGTGCAAATCCTATTTGAAGAGCTGAAATTGCAGAAATGGTCACGAGAACTGAACAAACTGGGCAAATACATTTTGATGAGAAATTTGAACCCGAGGTAGAGGAAGGGGGCGCAGCTGTTGGGAATGGTCCTTTTGGTGGAAATACTGCAATGGGTATGAGGAGGTCTCATCAACAGTGGATGAATGTGATGTATGCAAAGATGCATGATTTACAACAAGGAAGGATGGCAAATATGGAGAACCTGCTGATAAATGAATTTGCCTTGCAAAAACAAAGGACAAAGAGGCTTCAAGCTGTTTGTAGTTGAGCTGCAATGGCACCAGTAGCAAGAAGGAGGGTAAGGCAACGTCTTGTTCATCCCAGTACTACTAGTAATGCTCCTTCTGCTGCTGCTGAAGAAGAACAGCAAGCGATCCTGCAGAGGAATCCATCAAACTTATATGTAATTTGGAATGAATGGGAATCTGGATTTGCAGGAAACAAACCAGCAAAGAACTTCACTGCAGCTGAAAGGAATTCCAAAGAAAATAAATTTGTGTACTGCAGGTAGAAGCCTTTTTGGTTGTGTATTGAAAGAATTATAAGGACCAGGTCTGGTAATGCACATGATGCCATCAGCACAGTTTACACTGTGTACAGGCAGGAGAAGACTGTAACAAAGATCCTAAATGCAAGGCTCTTGCCACCAAGCATGAGAGGGAAGGTGGATATGCACAGTTGAGGAGGTAGCTGACTGGCTGATTGCTGCGTTGCTTTGATTTGTTGCTTTGTTGCTGCTTTGCTTCTTCGTTGCTGCTGCATTGCTTCCTTGCTTCAACGGACGCATTGTTTTGAATGTGTTCTTTGCTTGGATGCGTTGCTTGCATCAATTTGTTGCTTGGATGTGTTGCTTGGATGCGATGCTTGGATACGTTGCTTGGATGTATTCCTTTTTGGGCCTGGATCCTCTGTGTTGTCATTGTTTTGTTCCTTACTACTTGTCCCCCTTAGTACATCAATAACACCATTAAAATACTAGTATGTTAACTGTGACTGCTTTTTGCTAACTTTGACTGCTTTGTTTGCTGTCTGCTACTAGTATCCTCAACAAGAGGAGCATGCTCAAGAGCTGATAAGAAGATGGGGCAACCATTGTTGTGACGTGATTGTCGATTGTCGAGAATTACCTTCACGACTTGTGTTTTTTCACAGAATTTGCCCTGTCAAAAATTGTGTCAGTAATTATTCTCAACTGATCTACATCAGTTGAGGATTCGGTGATGGATTTTGATACTGTGCTGGTCAGTAGGTAGACTTGTACATGATTCTCTACTGTTGCAAAATTAGTTGCATTTACTCTTAATACCTGCACAATAAAGGTTTTTAGTCCTGTTTTTTATTTGTCGCGGTCACGACTGAAAGGCCATCGCGCGTACGTGTCAGACAATCACTCCTCTTAAATAATGATACCAATATGAATCATTGTGATAAGCCACACGACTGTAACAGTAACACACTGCAACTGGACTATCTTCACTATTTGTTAACCCTTTCACCTTTGTGTTTTCTAAAGTATCACGACATCTTTAAAAATCGAGACCAACAAATACTATCTTTGTACTGGCGCTTGAGTTTTATGACGAACCGCTTGGCTTAATTTCAAAAACCCCTTTTATTTAATATCCAAAGCAAACCAAGTACTTCGTATTTCACTAGACGCGGAGTCGTAAGGACGATTGATGATTCGATGCAACTGCGGTTAAGTAAACAGTTCCATTTTGCAATAGGAAGAAGAACTTCATTGAGGATCTCACATGTTCGATCGGTGAAAAGAGTGAGAACAGTACGAGAAAGTACTCATATCCCTGCACAACACTCATGCTTTTCTGCAACCGATAGCTCGCGGGTACCGTACCCTACCTCCTCACGTACTCGTACTAAGTTGGTACGAGATCCCGCGGTACGTATTCGAAAAAAAAGAATACCATGTGCTCTCGATTTTATTTTCGAAAGCACGAGTACGATGTTTTACTTGGTATTCCTACTCGTACTTCCTACATTGTACAAACTTCGCCGCTGAAGTACCGGTACCGTATGAAGTGGAGCGACCAAAATTTTGATATCGTGACGACCATCGCGCCGTCGCAATTGTTACATCAATCTGAAGGATTTCTCTGCCCCATTTGCCTGAACGCTTTCACATGCCTACGTTTCAAAGACTCGACGCACAAAATCAATCATTGTTGTCAAAACCAAAAAGGCTTGAACGAAGAACAGCTAAGAAATGATTTTATTTGGCATCGATCCACTGCACATAGTTGCTGCCGTAGTAGCTTGGCGCTTGGTTCATTTCCTATGGGTTTACATTCAGTTCCTGACATCGCCGTTGTGGTCGTTGCCCGGTCCTCGCTACGAGTCGTACATAATGGGTAAGAATAATTATTTATGTATTTTAAATAGCCCGTGTGAGACGATGCTCTATTCTACACCGACCAACGCAGCATTCTCATCTTGGCCACTTTTTGTGTGATCACAGGACAATTCGGAAAGATTCGGAGAGAACCGTTTTGTGAACCCCACAAACGATGGTGGAAGAAGGCTGGTTTGGACACAAAATTCATTCATTACACTCTGCCGATAGGAACGCACACCATCTTAGTGCTGGACGCGGATGTCGTGCGAGAGATACTGTTTTCAAATTACGGAGAAAATCCACGGTTTGTGAAAAAACTCATGGGTTTGATTCCGCTCGTTGGAAACGGCTTGGTCACTCTCGAAGGAAAGGATTGGCAACGCCACAGACGAATTGTCCACCCATCGTTTCAGCCCGGCTTGATACGTGAGTCCCTGGGGCACTACATACCAAATATCATGAGAACGTTCATCGGCTTCTGGGAAAAGGCGGAAGGACGGGAGATCACGGTGATGAATCAAATTTCGAACCTCACCCTTGAAATTATTGGAGAGGTCGCATTCTCGCACGACTTCCACGCTCTCGACTCCATAGAACAATGGGTTCACGAAGGCGAAGATGGTGTAACCGAGAGTACCCGTGTGAATGACAGAGTGGTGCAAGCGATGACATCGATGTTTGAGAATACGGGGACAAGAATTCTTATGCAGCTGATGAATATCTCGTTTCTGGATTTTTCAACAGCTAAATCGAGCAAGATGTTAGACGAAGCTGTTGATGAAGTCGTGACGGCAGCCAAATTGAAACTAGAGAAGACGAAGATGTTAGAAAAAGGCGATGCGACAAAAACTCTTGGTTTTGGCCAAATATCTCTCTTGCAGAGATTGCTCGATGCGGAGAATTCGGATACGAAAAAGTCTTCGAGAAAAAGTCTTGTAATGGAGGAACTCCGGGACGAAGTCAAAACATTCCTTTTGGCTGGTCACGAAACCACTGCCACTTGGTGTCACTGGGCCATTTTCGCACTTTGCAAGAACCCAGAAATCCAGGAAATGGTTTTTGCAGACATTGAAACGCATTCTTCGAAAGACGAGGAATCGGACATTACAATTGAAATGATAGAAAAGATGACTTACTTTGATGCCTTTATGAAAGAAGTCCTTCGCATGTATCCACCGGCGGGTATGATCGTTCGCTACAACGTGTATGAAGAACATTACAAAGGCCTCACCATTCCTGCTGGCACGAGGCTGACGATTCCTATCCATCTACTCCACAGGCATCCCCTTTATTGGAAAGACCCGGATGTATTCCAGCCCGAGCGTTGGCTTGGCAAAGAACATCCGGCGAGTAATAAGCATGCATATATGCCTTTCTCGAACGGGCCCAGGAACTGCATCGGATACTATTTTGCCGAGATGGAAGCGAAATTGCTCATGGCCCCGTTGATTCGTCATTTTGTGATTCGTTTGTCCCCCTCTCAGAAAGACGTCGATTTTAAGTTTACTACGTCTATTACAATGAAATCAAATCCTTCGCTGAAGATTGTCACAAACGTTCGGGGGAAAACCACTTAAAGCTGAAATACTGCTGACAAACAATTCTGTAAATCTATAATTTTTCTGATACTACTACCAAAGCATCCGACACGAAAAGTACTCGGTGAAAACCAAACATTGCGCATTGAAATGGCTCAATCATTGCATCAAAACTGTCGTGAAGGGGATCTGTCTGGACATAAAAAAGAGACACGCAGCACCCCAGCCCTATTCTATTCTATTCATCGCTGCGATACAACAAAACTCTAGATTCTACCTTGGTTTGCGTCGATTGCTTCGCGACGGGAAAATCTCGATGATCTTGTTCTTCAGATTCAATCCACTTTCCCGGTCCAACGCAAATTTGTCGTCGTCGAAAGAAACCAGCTGCCGATTGGATGCGACCCATTCCTCCATGGGTGCAATCGCCCACTTGGAGGAAAGACTGTGCTGGACCATCCAGTACACGACGGGTTTCGGATCGCTGTGCAAGGGTGATTCCGTTGCGCCGATCGCCGAATCGCCAACCGTCTTCGGTGGCTGCGGTGCTGGTTCGAAGATGTGCTCGTCGCCGCCGCCGGCGTCGTCCGGTGGCATCGGCAGGGGGGAAACAGACCCCCTTTCCCCGGGCGGTTCTCTGCGGGTTTCACCGTCCCCTTGGCTAACGGTGCAAGGCCGGGAGACGAGCATCCCGACGACAATGCCCCAGTGGGCGCGTTTCCCCTGCATCCGGCACGGCTGCTTCGTTCGTGGGTGGGAATCGTAGGGAAGAATCCAGAGGCCGCCGTCCCTCAGCGTCGAGTCCAGCTCGCTCGCGGCCAGCGATGCGGTCTCCCTCGTCCGGACGGTGAGGAAGGCATCCTCCCCACCCGCCACGGAAGGACTCCCGCCGGGGTCGCGTTCGGTGCCGCGATCGACGCCGTTTCGGGGGACTGCTGCGACCGATCCCAGCTGGTCTTCCACCAGCTTCCGCAGGTGGTCGGCATCGAAGACCTCGCCGTCTTGTGTGTAACCGCGTGCTCGTGCATCGGCCAGCAACGAGGGACATCGGTCGGAGTCGCATCCGTGTTCTCTCCGGTCCCGTGTCTGGTTCCCTTCCCGGTCCCGTTCGTGGTTGGCGGGCCAGCGGTAATGGTCCTTGACCATTCGAACGGCCGTCAATCCACAGGAGGGGCCAATCTGCATCTGCCACGGAACGCGGGGATTCCATCGATACCAAACGCGCGAAGCGTGTTCCGGGTCGGACACGGAGGCCACGAACCGGTTCATTTCTTCCTTCCGTTCGGTTTCCGCAACCCGAACGGAGTCGACGTGGTCGACGAGGCGCTTTCGCAACCAAACGTCTTCCTCCGCCACGGGCTGTCCTCCTTTGGTGGCCGAGGGCGTGCCACCCCGGTCGGGCAGCAGCACGACGGTTTCCAGTTTCTTTCCGCGGGGCGCTCCCCCGGTTCCGCTGTCGGCCTTTCCGTTTCCGCCACCGTCCTCCCCCCGGCGGTGGCGCTCCCGGCCGAGCCGGAGGACGGCCTCCAGAGACTGCACGCTCGTGGCGGCCAGGGCCTTGAGGCAGGGCCGCTGGAGGCTGACCCGGTTCCTAGCCCTGGCGTAGCCGCACCTGCGCTCGTAAAAGGCCGCGGTGGAGGCCTTGCACCAGAGGTAGACAAAGTGGTACGGGCCGCCCACCAGCCGGTTCCCCACGGCCTCCCGCTCCAGGAGGCCCAGGAGGGCGGTCCCGTACCCGCTGCCGCGCCGCTCCCGGTCGACGAGGATGTACGTCGCGGCGGCGGCGTTCCCCCCGGCGCTCTCGTAGCATTCCATGAGCCGGCCGTGTCCCACCACGCTCGCGGCCGGTGGTCCTTCGCCGGGAGTGGCCGGCGGCACCGACAGCAGCAGGTAGCTGCACGCCAGGCTGTACGAGGGAGCGGATCGCTCGTGGTGGACGATGTAGTTTCGGTAGTAGCCGCTGCCGCTGTCGTCCGCACCGGTGGCCTCCGTGCCGCCCGAGCGAGAATGCGGCTCGGAGCGAACGGCCGAGCGCCCTTCCCTGGGCCACTGCTCCTGGAGGGCGTCCGCCATTTTCCCGACCCACGACGACACGACGCCGGGCGGTGCCGCCTCGATGCCCCGGACGCGTTCGTTCCTTCGATCGCCACCGTCGCTCGCGCTGGTTCTCGCACCGGCATCGGAGGGTTCCTCCCCGGAAGGTCGGCGATGGATCCTGACGAGAAACAGATCGCCGGTCGTTTGGACGCAGTGTGCCGCCAGTGGCATCATCGGTTTGCGCGGCTTTTGCTCCACGGAACCGAAGAGATATACAAATGCAGCGGTGCGGTGTGACTTGKGTGGTCCCCTTCTTGGTGCGTGGAAGATTTGCTCTCGGATTGCGGTGTTGCTAGGGTGCGGAATCAGAAGTATCCTCGATTCCAACCGACAACATGCGTAGTGGTGCTCGTACTATGTACTGTATGAAACTGATACTGTACAACAACCTTCCAACAATTAAATGAATGATGCATTGGTGTCGTTGCGAGAACGGAGAACGTACTCGTACTCGTACCAGGTCCTGTGCCGTACGATACGTAACGTACATACTGTACGGGTACGAGTACTGTACGGTACACACTTTTTTCACGAGAATCTTGTTTCGCACACGTACATTTTGCGCATTTTGCATCGCGAGCAGATTTGGTGATTTTGTGTCGTGAAAACCCGTGACTAGCTAGAATCCAGCGGAAACGCACCTGCATCTTCTTCGGTTCCTCGCCTCTGCAACTCTTGTTGCAGGAAAGCACGAACCCTAACACCACCAAGCCACTGCCACTGGCAGTCAAGATGAAACAAGAGTAAGAAGAAAGTATGCGTGGATAAAAGAACATAAATTTATACAATTTCATATTGATATCTAGTAATACTCGTATGCAAGAAAAAGATTGAATGTGCACGTCCCGGTTTCGTTGCATATACCCATTGAGTGGCACTGGTCCGGGTTTGACGATTGATCCAAGAAAGGATCCAAGAAAGGATCCAAAAAAGGATCCAAGAAAGGAACCAAACAAACAAGCATTCCAAAAACATTCGGTTTTCATCGTTATCGGTGTTCGGAATGTTCCCTTTGGCTTTCACATCACCATATTGTACATGTATTATTATTCATTCAGACTCTGGACATTCGTCATCGAACGGTCACCCGTTTCTTTCGCGATGGTTCCCCCCGGCATTGCTTGGATCTTGGTTGCGGTACCTACCTGCGCGCGCGCCTTCCCATCACAATTTTCCCAGATCGTTTGGATCGTTCACGGAAGCGGTGAAATCCCGATAGACCGGCTGGGTTTTCGCAAACCGCTTCGTGGCCGACTCGATCGTGTTGTCGATTTCGTTGTCCTCCACAAACCCGGCAATGTCGTCCATCAAAGCCTTGCCCCCCGTTTCGACGGTCTTGGCCACTTCGACCCCCGTCACCGCAACCCGACGCCCGGTCTCCAGAACGGTCGGGATTGCACTGTCAATGGCTCTCGTTGTGGAAGCCATGTTGTCTTCTATTGCGTTCATGGTCTTTCCAGCTGCTCGATCTGCAGTCATGCGAGAACGATGCGTTGTAAAATTTCATCGAGTGTGGCAAAGAAAAGAAGGAACAGCGGTTAGCGATAAAAACAATGCTTCGGACCAATCATTCCTTCTCTTCCAACTATTTTCTCAAAGAGAAGGAGATGGCTGGCTGGCTGGCTGGCTGGCTGGCTTTTCGCAGCTTGATGCCAAATGCATGACCAATGAACGACAACCATAAACAACAAATGCTACTACTGCAACGACGAACACGTACCAATGTCGCTGGCAATGTCCTGCGTCGTCGCAATCGCATCCGAGATGCCCCGATCGACCGACTCGTAGGTTTGCTTTCCGGACTCCGCAATCACCGGCAGGGCTCTGGAAATGGTTTGTCCCGTGTAGGCTACGCCGTCCACGGTCTTCTGCACCGACGCCGTCACCTCGGGGACCGTCCTTGCCACCGTGTCCAGAGCATTCTTTCCTTGCTGCGCAGCATCGGCTACCGTCTTCTCCAGCATGTATGCTCCCTCGTCGCCCAAAACATCGTGCTCGATGTCGTTCAGCACCGGCATTACTCTTGCCTCGATCTCCTTCAGCGTGGGCATCGCCATGTCGATCCCGTTCTTCACCGTGGTGGCAACCTGCCGCTCGGCATTCATCACCTCCGGCATGATGGTATCGTATGCGTGCATTCCGGCCTCGGCAACTTCCGGGACCGTCTTGTCGACAATCGTTTTCATTTTTCGGGTAGTGTCGGCAACTTCCGGCATGATCTTCTGGTCGATCGTGTTGTACACCTGCTGTCCTGCTTTGATGACCTTGGGCGTTGCCTGGGCAACCTGGACCCCGCCTTCGATTCCAAGGGACACCACCTTGCCGACCATCCCCGCCATCATTTTCCCCGCGTACGCCACGTTCGACAGCGTCTTGTCCAAGACGGCACTGTTGGCGTCTCCCAGGAGCTCGTGCTCCTTTTCGACAATCATGGGCGTCACCCTCTTGTCGAACTCGGCCGCGATTTTGGTTCCGCCCGCAACGACCTTTGGCGCCGCGGCATCGTACACCCGTTGACCCCTCTCTATCCACTCGGGCATGTGTTCCCTGGTGTACCGCACAAAGGAAGGCGACGGCGCATCGGTTTTCGCGACATCCGCAACGGGCTTTGGAGCCGTGACCTCCACGCTTGCAACCACCGATGCGGAAGACTGGTATGCGGGAGAAGCCTGGGTGGCAATGGTTTCCGGGGCCGCAGTTTCCGTGCTTGCGACCACCGGTGTGGAGTAACCAAAAGTAGTTTCGGGGGCCTGCATCTCCTCGCCCACGGCAACCGAGGCAGAAGACTCGTCGGCAAACGCGGCTTGGGCGATGGCTTCTTCGGCCGTTTTGATCTGCTCCTCCAGGTACGGCAGGGTCACCTCCGGTTGCGCATCGGTGATCGCGGAGTACGACTGGACCGAGGTTTGCAACTGGTGCGGAACCTCGCTGCTCGGCTCCTGGGGTTCCGCAATGGCTGGTTCTGCTCCAACACTCATGCCTACGGCATTGTTGATCACCAGCATCGTCCCAAGGGCCGCCCCACCGAAAACCGCCCTTTTGCTAGGAAGCTCGAAGGTCTGTTCCTGTTCCGGTGCCTGACCAAACTCGGGATTGAACCCGCTCGGCTGTTGTTGTTGTTGTTGTTGGTGGTGGTGGTGCTGTGTGGGATTGTAATCGAACAGCTCTTGCTGGTACACGGCATCGACGTCTTCGCTCCACTGATCGTCATCGTGGAAATACTGGGCGGCGAAGAGTGCGCTCCGAAGCGAGCGACCGTCGAAAGCCGAGCCGTCGCCGTTCGTGTGTCCCTCGCTTGCGCTCCGTGTTTTGCGGCGCTGTTGGAACGACGCGAAACCCACCGGGGTGGAAAAGGCCCGACCTCCGCCAACGATCTCCGATAACAACAACACCGTTGCGAGTACGTGACCTTGGGTCGTCATCTTGGAAAGCGATTGTTTTCGCGATTCTTTGGTTCGTTCTTTTTGGAATGCTTTCTTGTGGGTTTGTGTGTGGCTCCGCGGTGCTGTCTGTTTCGTGTAAGAGTACCGGTTGTTGTTCCAAGAATACAGGGAGTGTGACTGCTCCTGATCCATTTCCGGAGGGGCTGAGCCGAATCATTCACTTTGCTGAAGTGACGAAAGCAATCGCTGAAAATAAAGACGTTATTCAACGCGCGCCTCGAAGAAGAATAATCACAGATGTCTAGGAGGGACTTCAAGAATTTCATTGGTTTGATTTGGTTTCAGACTCAAAAATGAACACGTCAGAAAAGCAAATTTCTTCATCAAAGAGCACGAATACGATTGATTCGGGGGAGATATTTTGTCGTCCAAATTCAATTGAGTCGATGGAGTCAAATGGAATTCTACCGCCGGTCCGAGATATTGGATCCTGGCCTCACATTGCCATGCACGCTCGTACCGGAACACACGGTTCCTTCCAGTAATCCTTCCGTTGTCAGAGGACTGAGAGACTTCGATTAAAAAGGACAGAGCGGCATCGAACATTGGTGAATGGATGATCTTGATGGCTCGCAGTGAGCATGTCACGGAGTCGGTACAGCTCATTGCAGAATTTCGTCTAGCACCTCCTCTACGGTAAATGGTTCTCATAGCAAAGGATACTGATTTGCAGTTTGCTGAACAATGAAGGCAACTTTGCCTCCACCCATTGAAAGATCGTATTCAATCCCTTCACCGTTACTGCAACGGTACGTCTCATCGCTGCGTTTGTTGTTGTCTCGCAGATCAAGTTTATTTGGATTCCTTCAATCGGTAGTCTATCCCTCGTTTGCTTGGATCCATCGGAGTCCTGTGGAGGATGATTCCCGTTGATCTAGATGTTCTACCGGTGTTTTTGACGGACAGGTTGTTTTGAAAGAACCTCAGACCAGGGATCATAATGTCAGAAACTCGTTCCATAGCAGCAATTCGTAACGTCTCAGCAACTCGTACCGGCAACTCGTTCCGCATTAGGAACTCGTATCATATCTGCAACTCGTATCGATACGAGCTGCTGATCCGATACGAGTTTCTCATACGAGTTTCTGGTGCGTGTCGTTGACACGTAGGATTGTGATGCGTTGGACACGGAAGACGGAGGAGCGGGACGCTTGTGCAACGGTAACGATCTACGATAACGGAAGTATCGGCGTCGATCCATCGAGCTGAATGCGGAGGATAGGAACGCTTGGTAGGGAGGACGCTGAATGCTGATACGGCGGATGCTGGTACGACTTGGTGATACGAGTCGCTTAAAAATTAATTTCCGTAAACACAAAGGCCCAATCTTTAATGTAGGCTTCTGGGTTTTCAGAAATGGCTCGTTAATGGTACATGCGGTAATAGTTAGCGGTCATGAGAAATACTTTTGAAGTGAAAGTCCCTCTGCTTTCAGTATCAGTTCTTGCACCTGAGTGTCGATTTTGCACAGAATTGGACGAAGCTCATTCAGCATAGTATATAATAGTAGTAGTATACTAGATTTACATTTTACAAGTACATGTGTTTGATATAATTTTGAACTATAAAAAAGTTCCCCAAAATAAGTTGTTAATCAATCTGTCAAATCATTTTTACCGAGTTCCTTAGACTGGTGATCTTTCGCCTATTCTTCACAGTGATGGACATGGTAATAACTCGGACATGAGTAGCAGTATTAGGGCCAAGTAGAAAGAATTCCCAAAATTTTGGTGGAGAGTGACGTCACCTTTGCCTCGGAGTCTAACAAGGATCGTTTTGCCAGTGCTTGTATGCTCTCCTTGTAGGGCAGAACGGTTTCCAAAAGCAACTGCCTATCTACCGTTGTCGTCGCCAGATCGTTTCTTGTGCCCGGTGGCGAAGCATCCCCAACGCGCAAGACAATAGAGTGCAGTGTTTCGAGACCTCCGAGCCTGACTTTCCAGAACCTTCTGTCCTTTAGAGCGATTCCTGCGATATCGACGAGCGTGGAAACGGCCTGGCGTCGTTGCAGCGTTTCGAAGTCTGCACACTCTGCCAGTTTCGAGGCGCCCCTGGCAGCGGCTTCTCTCACAGTCCACGCCGACTGCTTTGTGAAATCGGCATTGACCAAGAAGGTTTGGGATAGTGCAGAACTTTCTGCTGTCGACGTGGTTTTGATCTTTTCAAATTTCATGCCCAACCAAAGGGAACCAGCAAAACAGTTAATGGATCGAGCGACAATCAATGGCGACTCTTTGGGGGACGTTTGATCAGCGGAGCTCGGAGAATCACGAAAGACTTCCCAAAGTTGTGGTGCGAGAAAGGAGAATATGCGTTCGCGGAAACAAGAGTCGTCGTCTTGGGTTGGAAGCGATTTCAAGAGTTCTTCCAAGCACAGGAACACATTGGATCGATATGGGAGAACATCTTCGCTTGCCACAGAGCGCAAGGCGCTCTTTGAAGGAAAAGACTGCATCAACAGCAGACGGCAAATTCCTGGAATAACGAGCTGTGGAATATCACCCGTTGAGAATTTTTCACCGGACAAAATGCCATTATCGTCAACATCACTTTCTTCCGCTAATTCATCGTTTTCTTTGGCTTCTTTCATAAAAAATGCGTCGCCTACAAAAAGATCCTGGCCGGACAACGAATCACCAAAAACCACTGGTCTCAAACCTACATCTCCAAGAAACGATTCTGCTTCTTCGGCAACAGCAAAAGGTATCCAAACCTTCGAAACCTGAATCGCTGCGCGCACAACTTCATGCTTTCCGGTCCATATTCTACTCGTTCCGACCAGTTGAAGCAACGAAGAAAGAGCAATGCGAGTAGCGTTGGCTCTTTTTTTGGCCCTTGCTTGTTCCGACTTGGAGTAAATACCATTGAGACGACGCGGTGGAGGTGCAAGAATCTCTTTCTCGGCAAGACTGGCAAGAGAAACTGCCCCTGTTACTCTTCGTGACCACGATCGATCCTCTAGCGCCTTCACACATTCTTTCGTCAGACCCAACAACAGTCCTTCTTCTAGCGTGTTTCCGATGTCGTTCGTCGAAGAAACAATGTCAACTGATGCCCCTCCATCTTCCCACACCTCGCGCCATAATGATGCTGTGGCTTTGTCAGGATCTCGCATTCCAAGAAACGAAATCGGAAGCACTTTTTTGCACCATACATCTGAATTTCCGGGATCAGAAAACTGTCGGGAGGCTTTGACCGCAATCGATCTTAGGATCATCGCAGATGCATGCCTCGTAACAGGGTCGTCATTGTTTCCGTGTGCTAATTTGTATCGATCTGTTGCTGTGCCCGCAAGCTGACGAACTGCTGTCCCGGGGCACAACGCACTCAACCCACCAAATGCGCTGTTCATCTTGTCCTGAACCGCCTTTCCTTCACGTTCACGGTAGACTGAATCAAAGAAGCAGCGAAGCAAAGAGCTCGAAGAAGCGCTTGATTGAAACATGTGTGGACATGTTGAGCAAAGAGTTATTACAGATTCAGCAGCAGCCGTTCTAGTTGCCATGCCGGAAGATTTTCTTATCGCCGATTCAAGGGCCGGAACCACAGCTTCTTGGTATTTCAAGTTTCTTGCTTTCGGAACCAAATCAATACATTTTCTCAGTGCTGTGGCCAAAGGAGATTTTTGGGCGACTAAAAACAAGCCGAGTCAGAAACCTTATCGACAACTGGTTGGGACGTAAACAATGGAATACGCCATCTTACCTTGTATTCTTAAACGCGCTAGGTTCTCGTAATCGTCAGATCCTCTCTCCCCTCTAACAGCCAGATACGAAAAAGCTGCAGGTTCGAGATTAGACATTGCCATCAACAAAGCATAAATCACGTCGGATAAGAGCGCCTCCAAAATGGCAGGTTTGGCGATGTCGATTATACCTATCAATGCTGATATACAAATCCCAGCAGCCTCGGCGCATTGCTGCTTCAGTCCATTGCGAAGAAGCCATCGTAGAATAGTAGCAGAGGCGGAAATGGCATCCCTTTCTCTTTCTTTAGAGTTTCGGGTGGAATCATTTGGATTTTCGATGTGAGGGTTGCACAAGAAGATAGTTAAACCCCTCACAGTTCTTCCAAGAGATTCTCCACTTTCTCTGACTGTTATTCGCACGTCATCCAAGGCACGAATGACGGCCCTCCAAAGTCGAAGAAGACGGATGCCAGCTAGTGTAGATTCGGAAGAGGTCTTCGAAATAACAAGATCATAGTTCTCGTCTAATACTGCAGGCCCTCCTCCTAGCTCGGCCCATGAGCGCCCGATACAAATTTGACTCAAGGCTCCACAAGCACCCACACGGGCTCTCCAGTATTTACTGGATGTTTCTTCGACTAGTTTGTCCATGGTGGGACGTAAGTTTTCAGTGATCGCTCTTCTACCTTCCTCTCCTCCACCTGTAAGCCCAACCCATAACGTTTCCATCTGTTCTCGAGTTCGTTTATTTGGACTGGAAATAGGTTAGATGTCCTGCTCAAACGTAGGAACACCTTTCAAACAAGCAATGATATTGAACTTACTCATGAGACGCTCTCAAAATCCGCGGAAGAAGTTTCGCTAGGTATGGGCGCAAAGCAATTTTCACTTCGTCATTGTTGAAGTTATCTCCCTGCAGCGAAGACGGACCATAGGCATCACGTCGCTTTTCAGTCGAAAACCAGATGGTATGGGACACCGATAAGATCAACATGGAATATAAAATATCTGGACGACCACATGCTACTGCAGCGGCTGCCATCTCGCGATAAGCCCCCAGGGCAGCCTCTGATACTCCTCCCGCACCGCCAACATCGATTCCAACTCCTACTGTCTCGGATTCTCCGTTATTAGCATTATTGTCATTATCTGACCCTTCTGTTCTCCTTCGCTGCGCTGCTTGCTCCTCAGTCTCCTGCATTGCACTACCTCCGTGATTTGTTGTTGTTCCAAAGCTCCGCAGAAGCCTTCCTTTCAGTTCGTCAGACTCAGAAGCAACAACAAGCTTGTTACAGCCTGCAAGGCCCAAACAACAGCTCTCTCGAGATATTTGATTGCTTTTGGCATCTACAAGGAGGAAAAGGAAGCAGTCCTGGATCTCGTGAAGACTCAGCTGCAAACACTTACGAAAGCTTGAATGTGGTTCAAGTCTTGTTGCTCTGGCTACAACCGCTAACAGCGCCGATGCGCATGCTCTTCGTTTATGATTATTTGAAGTGGATTTTGCTGTCCGGAGCAACGTATACACAACCTTTACATACTGCATGTGAGTGATATCTATCGCATTGAGCGTGCGAATACTTTTTCGTCAATTTTCATTTAAAAAACTTACCCGACAAGAAGGCGACAAACTCCTTGCATATGTCTCATCCAAATCCAATGGCCAATCCCCTGAGGCCATTGCCGTCGATTTGTCAGTTTCGGCGAACAAGGCCAGCGCTTCACCAATTGCTAGACCTATTTCCTCGTCTTTTCTGAAGGCATCGGATCCAAGCAATTTGAAAAGAGCAGCAACGCACTCTGATTGTTCGGTTGTACTAGACGACACAGCAATGGACAATCCTGTAGGTTCGATCGCTTTTAACACTCGCGGAGCGTTCACGCGATCCCCATGCCCGAACTTGTTCAAGGCAAGTGTAGTATTCTTCAACACAGATGCCATTCCCTGCTTTAGACTGAAAAATAGAACGGAATGAAAGGGTCAAAAAACACAATGAAAGTAAGAAACACAGCATTCAGCCATATACACTTCGGAAAAAGAGACAGACCAGCTTACTTTTCGTGAAGTTCCGGTGTGAAACCACCGGAGCACGACAAGGAAATCGCGTCGCAAAACACGTTCCCAATCATATCATCAGCGTTTGTGAGGGCGCTACCTAATCGTTTCAAAATGATCGAAGCCATCTCGTACGTCTCGGGTCTAGTGAGGGGAGGGTGCAGGCGGATGACTCGTACACACGTTCCACCCAGCAGAGCTGCACCTTGTACGTCCTTCGATGGCTTGAAGGGTTCTACCGCTAGGTAGTCTGAGGATAAAGACAAGGCTTCGGTAACAACGTCGATCCACTGTGTGCCGAGAAGAGATGTGTCCATCAAGAAACTCCCAAATGCATCTGCCAGAAATCGTTTTGCTTTGGCAGAGGGAGAAGATATGATCATGTCCCGGAGACCTTTGAGATCTAGTGACAGAGACGACGATTGTATCATAGCACGTGCAGCAGGTGATGACATACAAACAGACAAGGCTTCGGAACAAGCATCAAGGACATCGTCGTTGCCACTAGTTGCTTCCCATGCAAGACATTTCGTTAGAGCACCCATAAACGATCCAAGGCCCTGTTCGCCTCCGTTGAAGTCGTCTTGATAGCTTCGCAGCAAGCAAGTCACTGCAACTGCCCTCCCCTTCGGAGAATAATCCCAGAACGTGGGTTGCAACGCCGAGGTCGAAGTGTTCCCGCCGTCATCGGGAATCAAGACGTGTATCAACTCCTCAAAGTCGGCGACTGCTGCACTCTTGGATCCTTTCAGACCCAGCCCTTCCTTCGCAATGGCGGATGCGGTTATATCTGAGTCCCCGGCTAGGAAGGACAGAATGTGGGTTCCACTGATCACATCCAAATCGATCAGTAGGTCACTGGACCAACGGGCAGCTCCGACACGGGACTGTCGTGGCTGAGATGTGTGGCTCGCGGCCCAAACAATTGGAAGCAGAGACTTTCCGAGTTGGCTCGCGATTGCGATGGGTGACATGGATGCTCCAATCGGCAATGAGCTTTCAATCTGGGATCCGGGAGAGCTCGTGGTGCTCCCCTGGTTCCCCCACGGATTGGCCGTCGTTGAAATCAAAGTTTGTGCTTGCTGCTCTCTCTTCATCTGGTCTCTTCCGTCGACAACACGCCGACAGGAAAACAGCAAGGCATCGAGAGCCGCCGTAGCCCGCGGCCGCAGCTTGTCGATTTCGTTTCCCAGACAGCGAAACAGGAGCTGCAGCAGGTCGGTTGATAGCCCGGTCGCCTCGGTGTTGCCGGCCGCCAGCAGCCACAGGAATCGCTCCCTTGCAAACTCCGATCGGCACAGAATGGACACCGTGCCGTAAATAGAATCTCTCACGGCAACGCTGGCCTCGCTGATCTGGGACGAGGAGGAGGCCCTCGAGGCGGCAATGGGTGCCAGGATTGTCACGGCGAGGGTCAGCACGCGGGCCTCCGTATGGAATTCAGCCGAAGACACGGTGGAGTTGCCGTGTTCGGGACGGCGCCGCCGGTGTTTCCCCAGTCGCAGGATGAGCCCGTTCAGCAGCTCCGCAGCAGCAATGTACGGTTTGCCCCGGAGCAGGGTCACCCCGAGAGCATTGCCGAGCTTGGAAAGCATTTTGTCCGATGCCAAGACGGAGAGCTTTCCGATCGCGGCAATGTCGTCGCCGTTGTCGTCGGGCACGTCGTCCAGGGCTTTGGTGGCCGTCCCGATCAGTTCGGAAAAGTGCGAGTCCGACACCTGTCGCCGCCGAAAGGACAAATCCCCGGTCAAAACACTAAGGGTTTTGTGGCCTTTGTTGTTCGCAGACGACGCAGATAGAACGGCTTCCGCGTTGATGCCTCCGACGCACAGGGACAAGAGTTCCTTTGTCAGGGCGGTGGAATCCCCGAATCCCCCCGTTTCTTTTTGCGAATCGAAATACTGTTTCGTGTATTGCACGGCGGTTTCCGAAACCTTCTTCATGGGATCCCCCGATGCCGCCACCAGGAGGGCGACCGTGCGGGATCGTCCGGTGTCCCCTCCGGAAGAAACCGACGCACCGGTCGTTTTGTCGTCCCCGTCGCTGCCGCTCCTATGGGTGTTCGTTGTGCCCCCCGCTTGGTCCGCCGCACCGGTCGCTCCCAGAAACAGACCGAACCGCCTGTGGGGGGCGATCCACTCCAGGAGCCGGTTCTTGAAGGTCGCCAGCCGGTGGGGGGGTGCCATTTCCGCCGCCCAGTCCCGTTCCGCCACGCTGTGGCCCGACTTCATGCGTTCCCACCCGCCCGACGACAGCCCCGCGGGAGGAACGCTGCCGGCTTTGGTTTGGTAGAGAAGGGCGTCCAAAAAGAGACCGTACGTGGCGTCGGCGACGGAGAGGTGCGGTGGTGCTCCGTCGGGGCCGGTCGTTCCCGGCGATTCGTCCCGCGACAGAAGCAGCCGTGCCTCCTCGAGGCCGGAAATCGCGGTCCCCCCGTCGTTTGTTGTGGCATCGCCTCGTTTGCCGTCGCCGTCGGCGGCGGCGCGGTCCTTGTTCCCATGGTCGTCGCCTGTTTTGATTCGTTTGTTCCCATTCGTCCTATTGGCGACCGCCGCCGCCGCCGCGAGTTTCCGGGACGCACCGAGGGAGGATTCTTCTTCCGCGATGATTCGTTCCAGGGTGCGAAGGAGAAGGTGCGAAACCTGCTGCCACTGCTTCCTGGCGGAATCCACGGAGGCAGACATATCACCGTCGGCCGCCCGTTTCCGTATCCGCCGCTCGTAGCAGGCATGCAGGACCAAAAGCCCGGGCAGGAGGCCGTCGAGCTCGGAGGGGGTGCACCTCGGAACGGCTAGTGTGAGGAACGCCAGCGAAAGGTTGAGGCTGAAGCTGTCGCAGTCTCTGGCCGTTTTCCGGCCCTCGTCGTCCACCGCTACTAGAAGGTCCAGGATGCCCCTCGCGTTCGTCAGCCGGCAATCGGTGTCGTCCCGGATTCGTTTCATCACGTGCGAAAGCATTTCTACCAGCTTGAGGTGGGTTTTGGACAGGACCGAGTCCAGCCGGGGATCGTTCCCGATCTTCAGCCGGGCCTTGTGGTTGTCCCCGATTCTTAGCAAGAGGCGCGGAAGCAGCTTGTCGAGGACCGCCTGGAGCTTTTGGGCGCTGTCGACCATCGCCAGCCGGTGGGAAACCCGATTCAGCGACTGTAGCTGGGCGTTGGCATCCGCGAGGGCACTCGCGTTGGCATTCGAGTTCGCATTATCGCCGACGCTCTCTCCTTCGCGACTCGTCATCGTGGCTGCTGCAAGATTTTTCGCTGTTGTGTCGGTGGTGGTTTGGGAATGGTGGTGACGCCGCGTTGCCTGTTCCTTCCATTCCTCCGATCGTAACCATCGTGTGACTGGATGCGGAACAAGTTTTTGTTTTGGTTTCATGCGTACCTCCTCATGGGAAAAGAATCAGGAGGAGCAGTTTCGACTCCGTGGGAACGTGTGTAACCCCTATCAATGTATATATGGATCGAAAGCTTATCAAGACGAATATATCTATGGTATTTATTAATGAATACAAGATAAAATTGGCTTTAATTCGACCTTTAAAGTTTCGGTTAAGGCATATATATTCTAACGGTTTTTATTCCGCGACCACTCTACAAACAGGAAAAAAGAGCGTGTCATTCCAAAATTTCGAGCCAAATTTTGTTACACGTGTAAGAAATTGCTATACTCCAACCAGTTTCCCCCTCATTTTTTATTACACGTGTAAGATTTCCCTCATAATCCAGCCTCCCGAAGAGGTGCATCAAAAGGGCCCCTTGACACCGAAATCAATCTTTGAGTCGACTGGAGTTCTTAAGCACAAAGAACAATTGCATGATACTCACACTCACATATTACATCCTCCCTCCGTAAAAAAGCAACCGAGTCTATTACAGTACTGATACAGCCCCAGTCTTATAGCCCCTGTCTATACGAAACACGCGAGCGCCTTCAGCTTCCCCTCTCCTTTACAAAACACGCAAGCGCCTCCAGCTTCCCCTCTTTACGAAACGTCCGTAACGCCCAATGCGATACAGCCCTGTCTTTATTAACGCAAAGCGCCTCCAGTTCGACACGTCCGCTTCCCTTTGCCTCTTTACGAAACGTCCGTAACGCTTCCCCTCTTTACAAAACGTCCGTAACGCCCAACGCGATACAGCCACTGTCTTTACGAAACATGCAAGCCTTGAAACACGCAGGCAACTCCAGCTTTCGCCTCTTTACGAAACGTCCGCAACACTTCCACGTCCGCAACGCTTCCCCTCTTTACGAAACGTCCGTAACGCCCAACGCGATACAGCCCCTGTCTTTACGAAACACGCAAGCCTCCAGCTTCCTCTTTACGAAACACGCAAGCGCCTCCAGCCGAAACACGAAACACGCAAGGGACTCCAGCTTTTGCCTCTTTACGAAACGTCCGCAACGCTTCCTCTCTTTACGAAACGTCCGTAACGTCCAACGCGATACGCAAGCCTCTAGCTTCCTCTTTACAAAACACGCAAGCGACTCCAGCTTTCGCCTCTTTACGAAACGTCCGCAACGCTTTGCCTCTTTACGAAACGTCCCCGTAACGCTTCCCCTCTTCACACGAAACGTCTGTAACGCTTCCACTCTTCACACAAAAACTCGAAAATGCCACGAAAAAAGAGAGGAGGACCTAAGTACAGTGGAAGAAAGACCAATCGAAAAAGTGCTTTGCTTGTTAGACAAAGGAAAGAACAGGAAGCTTTGCAAAAGGAGGAAGAGCTGAAGACTGCATTACTTGAAGCAAAATACAAGAATGATGTTGCAGTTTCAGAGCTAGAATTGGATAAAAAGCTACCACCAAGAAAGAGAGACC